AAAATATATCATTACTAAATGCAAAAGCAGGACAATAAATAGTTTTGCTTGATGATTTCTATGATTTCAGCTTTTAACAAACTACTGCACACGTTTGACAAGGTGGCAGAAAATTAATTGTACTTAAGAAAATACTGCTGAAGATTTCTGTGTGAAACCAGTGCAGTTGGAGGTACCTAAAAGAGATACTTATACTCCCCAGAGAAGCAAAACACGAGGATATAAGAACTTGTTACTGCTGTTGTATGGTTTGCATGTCTATTATTAATTTCTGACATACTTTTATCACTAGACCTGCTATGGGACATAAACTGCTGCTTACAGGACTTTACAGTTCTGTTCCTGCTACAGGGCATAAATCATTCTATATGCCAAAAGTTCCCCTCTATAAGAAACATTTAAGAAAGTGGGCTACACTGCTCTACCCACTGTAATTACTGTGGCCAGAATAGGCCCAAAATGGATCATCCAAAAGCTTTCACGAAATTAAACTAAAAATAAAACCTGCTCCATTTAAGCATCAATTGTTTCTGATTCTTTGTCCACCTAAAGCACCAACTAAAGTCAATGGTGAAACCCTGACCCCATTGATGTCTATGAGAGTCTTGCCACTGATTTCAATGAAGCCGGGATGTTGCCCACTGGCCCAGTCTGCTCCTACTTGAAACCAAAGGGAGTTTTGCTGTTAATTTTAATTGGACCTGGATTGAGCCCCAGAACAGACCTGCTATTGATTTGTTATTTTGCAATGGGAGAAAAGATGTTCGCACAGCCTATTTGCTGCATAAAGAAAATGAAATTGAAAATGTTACCAAAGGAACACACTTGACACACGTTGCCAAATATCATAAACTGGGTTGGCAGAAAGACCCACACAACTCTCAGAATTGCTCTAGCTTTGGAAGATGCTTAATAGCATCATTTGCGGGGGTGGGGGGGTTAATGCACAGCTATTTGCGTGTATGTTCCCCACCATTTTGAATGTGTGGTAATTTTCAGGTGTTTCTGTAATTTGCCCATAAGGTTGCAGAGCAAGAAACGTTTAGGGTTGCCATAGCTGTCTGATTAGATAGTTCACTCATTGGTAAATTACATTTTAGGCATTAGTGTAATTTAAATGAATAATAAGGTTATGTCAATGACCTGGGATGAATGATTTTCCCCCTCCTACTATGTGCTTTCAGTCATTTGCAATAAACCAGATATGCAGTTTTAGCTTCCATAGAGAACAGTGAAATATGAGCTCCTCATCAGATGAGGAGGAAGACCCCTGGATTAATTTAACAGCTCACTGTGCTTGCTGTGCCAATAAATACATGACCTCCTGAATGTCGCTGTCATGTTTACATTCTTAGCTTCCCCTTTCCTGTAAAAATTTTGCAATTATGGAGCGCGTGAGCCTGCAGATGTAAAATAACCTGCAGAGTCATCTTAAAATACAGGGCCCATACTGCGCAGATGGTGCAGATTGATTTTGCGAATGCTGCTGTCGACCAGTGCTTCAGGCACACAAGAGGGGGGGTGGGAAGTGGTGGAGAGAAAAAAAACAAAAGCTGCTTAGGGTTACCATATTTAAAAAGTAAAAAAAGAGGACACTCCACGGGCCCTAGCCCAGCCCCTTTCCGACCCCCGCCCTCGCCCCAACTCCGCCCCTTCCCCAAAGTCCCTGCTCTAACTCCCCCTCCTCCCTCCCAGCCACGCGAAAAGGGCTGCCTGAGCGCTACCGGCTTTACGGTTTGCTGGGCAGCCTCCAGACCCTGCGCCCCCGGCCGGCGCTTCCCC